CACACACTCCTGTTTTCCTAACAGAACGAGGGCTGCCAGCTTCACTGTTTATTTGCTACACAGCATTGCAAGGCTTGGCATCTTCTGGAGACTCCTGATGGCAGTAACATCTGTGGTGCTGAGTTCCCAGAGACTGCACCGGAAAAGCAGCTGAAAGGGGTGCCGCTCAGTTCCTTGTGATCAAAGGGTTTTAACGTGGTACCCAGGGCTGGGCTTCAGAGTGTCTAGGAAGCCCCTAGTTTATACTTTTGTGTACGTGTACATTTCACTTGGGGATAGGATCCACTACTGAGGATCAACATGCCAGTTTTCCTTTTGATGACAGACTTACTTCATTTATTCATTAAAATATCTGAACACTTGCTGTGATGTGCCAGGCACTGTCCTAAGCACTGGGGATATATGTCAGTGGAAAAAAAAACACATAAAAACATATTTACACTTATGGCATTTAGTATCCTAGTGGGAAAAGGCAGGCAATAAACAAAAATAACTTAGCAACAAAAGCAACTGAGAAGTTGCTAAGTGCCACAGAGAAAAATTAAGGTTACAGGGGAATGGAGTTGAAATTTTGAATAAGGTGTTCAAAAAAGGCATTATTGAAAAGACAACATTTGAGATTGGAGGATGTCGAGGAAGCGAGCTACTTGGGTAACAGGAAGGAGTGTGTGCTGGTCAGAGAACAGCGCATGCAAAGGCCCTGAGGTCCCGGAGGGGTCCTTTGAAGAGCTAGTAATAAGAGAGCTAGCTCTTGAAAGTTGTTCTGGCCTGACACTACAGCAGACAGCAAGGGCTAAGAAACATCACCCCCTTCTGGAAGTGGAAGGGCCGAACATCTCAGGTCAAACCATTTTCTTTAATGGACCAGCCTGGTTCAGCCAGTCAGGCTGGTTTGCCTGACCAAAGCTGCACACAAGCACATTGCTCTGGACTGGGGACTGATGGGCGTGGTCACTCAAACCTGCCAATCAGCACAACGGGATGGAAACATTCCGATATCATTTCGGTCACTGACCATTTTTGGTGGATCACAGCCTCTCAATAGATCTTAGTAACTAAGGGGGAAAGAGAAAAAGTATGTTACATCAACAGGGGAAAACTTCACTTTGCCTGTTTTTAGCTAAATTCTTTTTGTTCTAACCAATAGACTCATTTGAGAACATTTTCTAGATTTGCAAACCATTGTAAAGAGTTTGGCCCTGGAAACTCGTTAGAGAATTGGCACGGCCTTATTTATATTTAAAAACGTATTTGTGGTAAAATATATGACATAAAATTTACCATTTTAGCCATTTTTAAATGGTCTGGTTCAAGGGCATGAAGTCTATTCGTATTGTTGTGACCTTCGGGACTATTTCTAGAACTTTCCATCATCCCATCCCATACTGTAACTCTGTGCCCATTAACCGTAACTGGACAATTGCTCATGCCTCCACCCCCAGTCCCCTGGTAACCACCGCTCTTTCTGCTCTGAACCTGACTACTCTGGGTACCTCATGTGAGTAGAATGCTACAATACTTGTCCTTTTGTGTCTGGCTTATTTCACTCAGCATAATGTCTACAAGGTTCATCTATGCTCTAGCATGTGTCAGAATTTCATTTCTTTGTAAGGCTGAAAAGTATTCCATTGTGTGTACATAACACATTTTGTCTGTCCATTCGCCCACTGATGATCATTTGGGTTGTTTCCCCCTTTTGGTTATTGTGAATGATGCTGCTGTAAATGTGGGTGTACAAATACCCGCTCAAGTCCCTGCTCCCAGTTCTTTTGGGTACATGCCCAGAAGTGGAATTACTGGTCCAAATGATAATTGTTTTTCATTTTTTGAGGAGCTGCCATGCCGTTTTTCACAGTAGCTGTGCCATTTTACAATCCCACCAACAGTGCCCAAGGAAGGGTTCCGGTTTTTCCACATCCTCACCAACCCTTGTTTTCCATTTTTCTAATAGCCATCCTAACAGGTGCACAGTGGTCTCCTTGTGGTGTTTGATTTGCGTCTCCCTCAGGATCTGTGATGCTGAACATCATTTCCTTGTGTGTTATGTTTTTAAAGTATCACTCTGGCTACCGTATTGAGTATTCACAACTGTGAAGGGCAGATGATGAAATGTAGGAAAAGGAAGACCGGTCGGGCTATTGCAGTCATCTAGGTAAACGATGATGGTGGCTTGGAACAAAACGATGGCAGTGGACGTGGTCGGCAGTGGTGTGGCATTTTTGGCACATGGAGGCCGGAGCTGCTGGACTGAAAGGGGAATGTAGAAAGGAGCCTATAGTGACTGTTGTGTTTACAGCTAAGCAGCCTTTTACTGAGATGGAGCGCGCGGTGGGGAGAGCGTGCTGGGAGGTGAGACATCGAGAGTCAGATTTGGGACAGGTTACCGTATTTTGCTGTGTATAATGTGGACCCATATTTTTGGCCCAAACTTTCAGGAAAAAAAACTTTCACTTTAATTCGATTATTTATATTCAGATACTTGTTTCTGTATTATAAAGGAATTCTAGCATTTACATTTGAACATGCTATGGTACAAGAAATTTTATGTAACAAATAATTACAAAACACAAGAACAGATACAAGATATAAGAAATTTTATGTACCGGTAGCAAATGAGTACTACCCAAGTATGATGCACATCCTCACTTTTCCCTCAAAAACTTGGGAAAAAAAAATGTGGGTGTTATACATGGCAAAATACGGTATAGTTGGATGCCTGTTAGATTTCAAGGTGGAAGTGTCATGTTGACAGTGGATGCAGAAGTTTGGAGATCCAGGTATTCCTGTTACCTTTTGCTGCATAATAAACTACCCTGAAACTTAGAGGCTTGAAACAGCAGCGATGTGTTATTTCTTACAATTCTGTGGGAATTCTGCTCAGCTCGGCAGGCCAGCTCTACGTGGCTTCCCACTGGGGCCTCACCTGGCCGCACTCAGCTGACGGCTGGGCCGAGAAGGAAGGTCCCAGGTAGCTTCACTCACATGTCTGCCACCCTTGTCCCACATGTGGCCACCCCATGTGGTTAGCGTGGGCTTCCTTGCAGCAGGGAGTCAAGGGGAGTCAGGTCACGGGGGTCAGCTCCCACTCAGGCACACGATCACAGGGGGCAAGAACCAACGGTCTGCAGTGCGCTGTGCTGCCCAGGGAGCTTCGGGTACGTGGTCTGAGCATGTCTGAGGTGAGCGAGGCCAGGGCATGATATCTGGTAGCTTCGCTGTATTAAATGAGTTTTCCCTGAAGAGTTTTCAATGTAACAATGGGTTTATTAAGACGTAACCCTACTGTAGGTAAAGGAGCATCTGTATATACATACACTTCCTTTTACACAACTGGAGAGAAAGACACCCTTTGCGTAGTGTTCTCAGATGTTGTGAGAACATCCCTTTTCCAGAAATCCGGCAGTCCTCTCCTAGAGTTTCACTGGGGTTGAATTTGGGTACCAAGTGCAATGCGGAACCAACTCCTGTGCTCTGTGGAATACCATGGGCTGACTGGCTGCGGCAAAAGGGAATGAATCCCGATCGGTCTGGAGCATGGAAGGCTCTCTCTCCTGCTGCTGGGCAGCCCCGCCCCTGAACACCTTGGTGGTACTTGGGAAGGAGGAATCGATGCTGAGTAGGTTACTAAGAATATCCACTTCTGAGCTGTTGTGAAGATCAAATGGAAGCTGCAAGGATGCATTGCCTTTTCTTTTTTTAAAGGTTCTTGGAGGTAGAGATAGAAGAAAGCTGGGGAGAGAAGAATGGCTGATAAGGGAGGGATGTGAAGAAAGAGAAATTCGGAGGAAAAGTACCAGAGTTAAATGAAAGAAGCAGCAGAGGAGGGCGGGGCCGGAGTTGACCTATGCATGTAAACAGAACATACCTGCCTGAATTCTCAACAGGAATTAAGAGTAATGTTATTCTGCCCTGGCACGGGTGCTGCTCAGAGGATTGAGTGTGGGCCTGCGAACCAAAGGGTCACTAGTTCGTATTCGATTCTTGTTCAGGGCACATGCCTAGATTGTGGGCCAGGTCCCCAGTGGGGGGCAACCACACATTAATGTTTCTCTCCATTTCTTTCTCCTTCCCTCCCCCTCTCTGTAAAAATAAATAAAACTTTTTTTAAAAAGAGAAAAAACATCCCCCACCTCCCCCAAAAAGCCTTATCCTGGTGCCTTATAAGCTCCCCTTCCCTAAGAGCTGATGGGGACCTAACTGGCTCGTCTCTATATCTGCCTACACTCAAAAATGTTCAATAGCTCCCAGCAGAGTGCCTGGCTAGAGACACCTGCCTCGCCCTGCAATTCAGGACTCTACAGAACATGAGTCCAGCTTACCTTCGGCTTCATTTCTAATGACAGTCCCGTATAAATCCACCCAAATCTATCCCTGCACATCCAGCCAAATGGGACTTTGGGTCACTGCACACGGACCCCTATACCTGCTCTCCTCCCTGCCTGTTGTGCAGGCTTTGCCTTTGCTTTGAACGTTGCTCTTTCCTGGCCAACATCTTCTCATCTTGAAGGCCGAGTTCAAATGCCCGTTCTCCTTCACTGGTCCTTGAGGCTCCAGTACTCATCCTCTCCTAAGTTGCGCCCAGCATCAGTTGTCTGCTTGTCTAGATGGTCAGACTCTTGAGGACAGTGAAGGTCTCCTCCTCCATCCATTCTTTTATTTGCTTGTTAAAAAAATCTCCAGCATCTGCTGTACACCAGTGCACACAGAAGCGGTAAGAAAAGCAGTCAGTTAAGTATTGGCTGAGCTTAAGGCTGTTGAAACGGGACTCGTGCTAACTGATGGGATTTGGCAGTGGGGGTGACCTGTACTAATGAACTGATATTCTCTGTGGTTCTTCTGTTCTGTGAAACTGTATTTCCAAAACCCTATCTCAGCGGGGCGTAAACTCACATGAAGGCTCAGTTCCAATTGCCAAAGCAAAGTGAAGAATTGAGATTCACTTAATGAGACAGTTTACAGATTGTTCAGGAAAAAAAAATCTGCTTTTGAAATTGTGTCATTTCAGTTTTTATTCCAGAATCATACAAAGCACTATCACCAGTATTATTTAGCAGTGGCTTTCAATACTTTATTACCACGAGACACAGGAAAATAAAAACAAAACCTTTATATCACCATCCAGATTATATATACTCATTCATTCCTTCCTTCCTTCAGTAAGTAGGGGCTGACCGGCCACTAAAACAGGAATAACCAAAGAGGGAGGAGGAGAGGAAGAGAAGGGAGGGACAGAAGGAGGGAAACAAAAATCCCTGCCTTCAGAGATCGCACTGGTGGAAGACACAATAAACAAATAAGTAAAACACATATACAAACACACAGAAACAGATTCATGGAATGAAACCTCCCATTAGCACATGCTACGTCTCTGCAATGAAGAAGGACTATTCGGTTCTTACATTACAGGTGGGATAGAGTGACATGTAAAGAGAGGGTAACCAAGCGAGTGAGGCAAATTCACCCACAATCAGAGGGAAGCAATAATGAAACTTCAACTCAGGGCTTCTGACTGAGCCCACTGCTGCCCTTTCCGGCATCCTCTGCGGTCCGCTCCGTGTCTTAGCTCCTTCTTCTCTTTGATTCCGAGATCCTGAGCTCTGCCTGGAGCAGCTCTTCGTTTCTTGCCAGGTGAAGCCCACCTGCTACTTCTAGGCCTGCCTGGACTCCAGGATGCCTCTCCCACGCTCCTCGCTGCTTTCCGGCTTCCCTGGCCATCGCTGCTGGGCCACAGTAGGCCCCTCTCCACTGTGACCTCCTTAGGGAGCAGGCGTCACTCACCATTTCTCCCCAGAGCATAGTGTTTTACAAGAGCAGCTGTTAATCAACACACCTGGAGCCAAAGTGAATCTGAAAGTGATTTGGGTGGCAGGGAGCCAGGACCACTGCAGATTTAGGCAACATCTATTGAAAAGGCTAAGACACTAGAAAAGGTATCACTGGAAAACAGATCTCTTTAACTTAAGTTATAAAAGTCACACATTAGTTAGAGGCTTTGATAGTATAAAAACCACAATCCAAATTTTCTATCTGCCTAGCATCAAGTAGATAGATTTAGAACCACGGATTTAGGTCATGTATTACAAAGAACAGAAACTTAGTCAAATTAATTCAAGAAAATGAGGCCCACCGTCAGGAAGCTGGAGAGACCTGAGGCAGGACCGGAGCCAGAGCCCCTCGGGAGCTCCTCCGCAGCACGAGTAAGGGCACCTTTGCTGTAACGGTGACCAGGACAGTGGGGACAGCTGCCAACTCACCAGATGAAGAAAATCAGTTCAGATCCTCAAGAGGAAATCTAAATGGCACAGCCAAGTCTAGAACTGTCGCAGTTTGGGTAAGATGGGGCTGTGTGGTGGGTGCGAATGTCTAGGGAAGGAGGGAGAAGCTTGCTGAAAAGGGAGATGAACTTGGAGTAAATATTAGCCCTGACTGGAATTTGAAGCGTAAGTTTGATCCTCCGCTACAGAGGATGGGGACACAAGGCCAAGGTGAGCTCAGTTATAAGCTGTTATATAAAATTCTGTATCTGTGAGAAAGTATAAAATATCATTGGAATCCTATTAAAAGTAAAATAAAGGGGATTTTACCTAAATGACCTCTAAGTTTCAGGGACCTGCACACTATGAATTTATAAACATACAGGACCCAGCAGAAGGAACACCAGAGTGTGGGTGGCAGGGTAATAATGTGGGTGTAATAATTTGTACTTTTAATTTGAACACTTCTCCTAACATGCCATATGGTGTGCTTGAGTGTGGTACTGTTATGTTACAGAATTACATGCTTATGATTTTATGATAAAAGAGTTTGTAGTAAAAAAAGGGGGCGTCATTTGTGCCAGACCCTGTATATCGTGAAAACTCAATTCTCTAACCCATGGTTTTCAGACTTTATTTTGAATCAAGAGATTCTGGTTCTGTAGGACTAGGGAAGGCAGTGGGGATGTTTAAATAAGCACTTCAGATTCTGCTTAAGATATATCATGTTGAGAAACTGCTCGACCTAACTCCTTCTCCTTATAGTAATTAAAAAGGGGCTCAACTGCCATATGTTTTTTAATTAGAATAAAAATGAACAGAAAAACCATACAGGCACACCATGTAGTAACATAAAATAAGAGCATGCATAAAACTTAAAACCACATTTCATATCATTGTTTTTAATAGCATTTAGTCACCTAATTTATAGTGGCATATTGGCTTATAAACGATGTGTCAGACTGACTAGTACCTTAGTCTTGGGTTTTCTTTTAAAGTTGAGAACAGGGAAACTAGTTATGAGTTAAAGATATTACTTCAGGATGGTATGTTGACTTATAAACTCAAAAGGTATACCTATAACAATTCTATAAACAGCGAATATGAATGTAACTTATTTAAGCCTTTTGGTTCACATTTTTAAAAGCACCCTCATTTCTTTAAAGCTAAGTACTATGAATGGTTCTTCAAAGTCTATTGTGAACATGACGTACTCGGTTCGACTAGCTGGGAGCCGCAGGAGTGAGTTTATGTGACCATCTAATTCAGAGTCCGATTTAGCCCTAAAGTCAACCTGCATTACAAATAAGTTACAGTCATGGGGAGCATAATCAGTCTTCAGATACAGCTTCCAAAGCTCTCATCATCCAGGTTACCCCCTTTTTCCTTTCGTTTGCACATACCTTTCTTTTAAAGGAGCAAAATATATACGTTCACCGAAATTCTGAAAGTCACAGCTTGTATAGCACTGAACAATAGTAGCTTTGGCATTTGATGTTACCAAGTCAGTTTCATTACAAATAATTTCTTCATTCTGGGTCCAGACGAGGTAAAACAGGAAGAATAAGATTCCCAAACGCGGAGTCTTGAGTTATGAAGTATCCAGATGAATGTGCATGTGCGTGCTGGGAAAGTTAAAAAAAAAAAACAGCAATCAAGCCATTAAGACTTATAATTCTTTAACTTATTCTTTTTGAGTACTTGAGACCAAATTTATTTCTAGATCAGTTCTTGTGCTAATTTTGTTTAAATACACAAGAGATGGACAATAATAAAGAATTCATATCAATAAGTTGTACCAGGTACTCCTGGCACACTTTCTACCCAGTGATTTTTTTTCCAGTCAAAAACACAAATTATGGACTTTGATCCTTCAAGTGGGTGAAACTAGCAAGAATGGTCCCAAAGTGCTCTGCTTTTGATCAACAAACCAGGAGCTTGAAAAAAAAAAGGGCAGCAGCTGGAAGAAGAAGAACAAGGCAGCTGAATGTTGGAACTGAAATAACAGAAAACCACCAGTGACTTCCTCTGTCACTAAAGAAAGAGGGACCGTGTTTAGGTTGTCTCAAGTGAGATGATCTTTAGTCTCTCTCTAATTCTGAGATCCTGAGGCTTAAAAGTATATATAACCATGTCTCTGGGAATCTTAAAGTATCCACCATCAGTGGAATACTAAAACTGTTTATTATCATGAAGAAAATACATTTTTAAATGGATAGATTATCCCATTCCTACGGAAAAAAGTTAGTCTTGAAACATTTCCTGCACAACAGCTATGCAGACCATTAAAGGGTCCACACAACAGTAAACCAGCAAGACTACCAAAGGATATAATGGCATGACAAATCTGAAAATACCTAACTAACTAAACAGATACACTCACACTGTTAAACCAGCCAGTTCGGCTTTTAAGATCGTTCTGTCCATCCAAATGTGCTAAACTCCTAAGCACAAGCAATCCCTTGCCAGGTACGGCACAGAGTCAATCACAGCGGAGTCAACACCATAAAAGATATTTTCATTACTGCTCTGTTGGTCCTTCGGGTCCTCTGGGCACAACTGAACATCAGCGAACCACTGCAATTATGTGTGGAACATTTTTATTGATATTGCTCCACTGAAATAAATACAAAATGGGAATTGTGCTGGCTTCCAATGAGACAGGACTCTCCCATGAAACAGGACTGTCGGTTACACTTCGCTCACCTGCAGAGCCGCCTTCTGCTGGGCTGCAATGTGCTGCTGCTCGGCATGATCCCGGAAGTCCTTATTAAGGGCGGGTCTCGAAAGTGCGATGCTAAAATGGGAGTCTTAGTTACTTGGCTGTTGAAGGCATGCACTTCCTTAATTTTGAATCACGTTTTTCATTATATAACAGGGGTAAAAAAAGACCTTCCAGAATACATTTCGCCTTTTCCCAGTCTACATGAATGTACATGAAGAAAGCCTGTGTTATTTACTGGGACTTCAAATGATCTCCTTTTTATTGATGATCTATGGTCCCCAACTTTCAAACAGACTTGAGGTACTCCAGTCTATTGTTAAGCTACATTCATGATGAAAACTGAAGAGCTGAATGTTTCAAGCAGAAGGTATAGAATGCAGGACAGAGGAACTTGACATGTCTGAAGAGCTTAAGAGTTCAGTAGGACTGGAGGTCAGGGTTGGGGAGGGGCGAAGTGGGTGGGCAAAAATGAGTCTGGGGAGGAAGGCAGGTGTCAGGATATGAAGTTAAGAAAGCAGGCTTGTGAGGAACGTTACAAGCAGAGCAGTGGCAGGCCAGAAGCACCACGTGACGGTTCAGAAAGACCAGGGATGGCAGGCAGTGCCGATCTCCTCCTCAACAACTGTGCCTCTCTCTTCTTCCACGCTGATGGCAAACCCACACTTAGTTCAGTCATCAATGGTGCCATGCTTTGGGGCCAGCCCCGGCTGCTCCCTCAGGGTTGAACTTTGGTGTAAGAAATGCCATAATCCTTGCTGGTTTCTGGCTTAGGCAAGAAAAAGGTACCTGATTCTAAGCAACTAGGTTCGACGGGTGGTCTGTTGCCAGGCTTCTGAGAATAGTTTCCTCACTTTTAAAAAAGGAATGGAGGATAGGAACCTCCCGGCTTTTGCCTCTGTAGGCGGCTCAGTGTGGAGGGGAGGCCCAGGGCACGCAGTCCTGTCGTGAGCATTAGGGAGCTGCTGACCATGCAGAAGGCAGAAAGGAAAGACAGGAGGACGCCAGTCACTGCCGACACGGCTGTGCCACTGCAGCGGGCTGCTCTGCACCACCCTGTCTTCACCTTCCGCTCAACACGTGCCCTAACCTTAAGGCAACCCTGTTGGTTTTCAGAGAGACTACAGGGAAGTTCAGTGAGGGGGCAGGTGTGGTGACAGAGGACAGAAATGACAGTGCCGGCCCAGGGAAATGAAGAGGAATGGACAGATCTGAGACACGTTGCAAAGTGTAAACATAAGACAGGGGTAAGTGCTTGGAGATGAAAGTGAAAGGGAATGATAAATAATTCGAGTTCACATTTCTGACTTTGATAACTAGTGGATCTGTACCATTTGCTGAGACAAGAAACCAAAGAATATTAAGTAACTAGTTAAAGAAAGAGAAGGGAAGATGAGTTCATTTTGGGGAATATAGGGTTTGAAAGGCCTGTAGCCCATTGAAGTGGGTACGTCCAAGAGGCGCCTGGTGCTGGGGAGAGAGAAGCAGGTTAAAGGGGCGAATGTGTACAAGTTAGCTACACATTACTAACAGGCTGTGAGAGTGGATGCAGCTCTCCAGGAAAAAGATGTCGACTGGGAAACTGGGTCCTGAACAGAACTCGGAGGAACATCAACATTCAAGAGACGGGCAGTGGAGAAATGTTTGCTAAAGAAAGCAAGGTGGCGGAATACCAGTGAATGGAAGCCAAGGAGAGAGTGCTTTAAGGAGAGAGTGATCAGTGCTGACAAATGATACTAAGGTCTCTAACAAGAAAACGACTTTGGTCTTCCAGTTTTAGCTACAGGGAGGGTGCAAATGAACTAGGCGCAAGCCTCTTCTAGGTGGGGGAGGGGGACACCTGGCTGTCAGACTGTAGTGGTCCGAGGAGTAAGTAAGTGAGAAAGTAGAAATGAGTGTGAGGTGGTGAGTGGATGGGATAGTGAATCTGAGGGAAGAGAGTTGAGATGACAGAAACTGAATACTGTACAACAGAGATCATTAAGGTACCTAAATTTACCTACTTTGCAGAATGCTTAAAAATGGGGCAGTGGAGTAATTTCAGTAATCAGTAAAATCATACAAGACACTTTTTAAAAAAAAGTAGGCTGTAGGAAAAGTAAAATATTCTAATTAGAATTAAAATGGTTAAAATGGAATCAAATAAATTGTCTAATTTTTTCAACTCTAACTAGGAAACAAAACAATGAAAATTCCTATGATAAAGACATAAACCATTGCCAACCAACTTCAATTATTCTGTCCAAGATAGGTTTTTGTATTACTGAACATAAAAACCACATTATTCTTTAATACCTAGCTCCAGGATGATTTGTTGAGGATTGGTTCTGCATTAGTAGTTTTCTTTTCTCTTTGTCTAGTTCGGCCAGGATTGCAACTCTATTTTTGTTCTGAAAACCTAAAAAAGAAAGGAGGGTTGGGAGAGGAGAGAGAGAAATAAAAAACATTTCAGAGCTATTGTATAAACCCAGGCCATCTAGAAACCCAGAGAGCGCCATCCTCCCCTCTTAGCATGACAATGAACTCACTGGTAAGGAGTTGCTTCAGATGTTACTGTATCTTACTGCCCATTTCCCAGCAACTTTAACAGTACAACGCATGGATATATGCAAGGTATAACAATGACAGAGGAGTCCAAGACTCAGTTCCAAATAATTTTAACCACCAAGGGATGAGTAATAGCATTTGCTTTTTAACAAAATCTCTGAGGCTCCAAATGCTGCAGGGACCAACCTTGCCCTGTTCAGTCAGTCTCGGGTAGTGAAGATTTTCTTAGTTCTCAGATGTAGGCCCCTTTGTGAAGGCCTCTTTCAAGGAGGGAAAAAGCATTAGACATACTCAGATCAAAATGATAATTTCTTTTTCTCAACTGCTCTCATTCAAAGTGACACAGTCTCTCAAGGAACAAGTCAAAGAACTGCAACTGACTGAAAAGCAATTCTGAGAAAGAAATGAGGCATGACTGACGGACAGGGTACAGAAGGATGTGTGCTTTACCGACACTTAACACGGGGCTTGGTTCTGAGCTCCAAACTTACCGAAGATCTAGAGAAGAAGCTGCAGAGTCTTGGCCTACAAGCAGTATTCGAAATGTTTTAAAAACCCAAATTAAATGCCAACGTGTAGCATTTTCAACATTTTGCAGCATTTTCAGCTAAGTCTCGTACCACCCCACTCCATCCCGCCCAGGTCACGAATCATTCCTTTGCCCAGGGCACTCATGTTGTCCATGCAATAAGATGTTCTGAGAGGGAGAGGACACATTTACATGGCTTTTATTGTAGTGTATTGTTACAGCTGTTCTATTATCAGTTATCATGTTAATTTCTTACCATGCCTAATTTATAAAGTGAACTTTATCACAGGTATTATGTATAGAAAAACATGTCATATACATAGGACTCAGTACTATCTGAGATTTTTCAGGCACCCAGGGGGTCTTGGAACATGTCCCCCACAAGTAAGGGGGGACTACTGTATTTTACAAACCACAGTTTTAGGCCTTCAACTAACACCAAAGCAACTGATGAACAATTCCCTTCATTCCATCAAGGCAATCTGTCAAAGGGGTTTGAAAATCAGGTGTTATATAAAGGCAATAAAAAAACAGTTTCAATGATGAAATAATTTCTTAATTATCTAGGCCTCTAATAAGGGGGACCATCACAAACCATAAATATCAACTCATCTTTATACAATTAGGATTTTTATGTAAACATAACAACCAGTGTCAGAGAACTTTTATTTTATGCATTAAATTTATTAAATTGCCTATATCTGACCATTTTCTGCCGACAAAAATAACAACTGCATATAATTCACCAACTTTTTAAAAATGTAAATCACATGTCCTTCTTCTGGGCTTGGTTAAGAAAGAACAGCCTCCTTAAAAACCCACGCACGTCTGACAGAGCACAAGACAGCTTCGGTCACTCCCTGCTGCCTTGAAAATGAAGTGTGAAAGGTAGGAACTATAGGCTCTAAAGTAATGTACGATTTCGAAATTAATACAGTTTCTGACTGCCAGTGCTCTTAGTCCATGGAGGAAGGCTGTGTTACTGTCACTCTGCTTACTACCTAGGGCTTGGCCTGTTATCCCAATAAACAAACAAATTACTATAAACGATCTGATAATATATTAGGTGGGAAATTTAGAATATGGGTATTACTGACTTTATACCATAGAAAGTTCCCTAAAAAAGATGTAATACACAGTAAGGAAAGATTATTACAAAAGAATAGGTATACACCGGAATATATTGCGTAAAGGAATCCAAAAGTGAATTCTCTGTAAAGTGGAAAATGCTTCGCAAGGGAAGCTGGTACTCTTCCCTTTGTATATATGGTCTTGCAAATATTTAAGGCAAATCGCACCACTAGCTACATTTTCAACTATAGGACAAGACTTTTTTCCTTTTTTCAGAAGAGGCTTATACATTTTCAGAAGAGAATTATGTAATTACATCTTTTTAGAGATTTAGAGAGACTATAAATAGAAAATAGAAAATTCTTAAGAAACAAATTAAAAAATCTGAGAATGTCTAAATTATATGATGAGCAAAAAAATTAGCCACGTTGGAAAGGACTGAAGTGCTGTTTACAGAAATATAAACTCCCTCAAGATTATTTTCTTCACAGGAAAATACTTTAGTCCTGACCAGTGTGGCTCAGTCGGTTGGAGTGTCATCTGTAAACCAAAGGATCATGGGTTCGATTCTGGGTCAGGGCACATACCTGGGATGACAATTTGGTCCCCAGCTGGGGCACATGCAAGAGGCAACCGATCAGTGTTTCTCTCTCGCATCGATGTTTCTCCCCCGCCCCTTCCCCTCTCTCTAAAATCAATAAGCATGTCCTCGGGTGAGGATAAAGAAAAAAAGAAAATGTTTAATACTATCCTCCATTAAAAGGAGCCAGGGTTCTCTGAGAGCACTAGTTCTACGTCTTAGAGCAGGAAAATAATCAGATGGACCTGGGATATCTTATCAGAAAGCCAGATTTTTTTTAAAAGGGTCAGGACAGCGCTCAAAGATCAAAGAAGCCAGCTTGAGATTAGCCAGACTGTCACAAATGGAACGTTCCAGAGAATAATAATTACAGCTAAACGGAACAGATCGAATCTATGATAAGCTACAAATTCATAAGATACAAAATGGAAAGTTAAAGTACATAAACAGACAGTTATAAAAAAAGGTCGACTATAATAGTTACTATGTTAATAATTAAGTAAACACTTAGGTGTTTTGTTTCCCCTAATAAGTATATGTCCACTTATAAAGTATAGCTGTGACCTTTTTTGTTCAGGTGCAGGAGGAACGGGTGGATACGGGGAACTGTAGCTAAGCTAAAAAGTTCCAGAAAAGCAAGTTATGCATCACTGGGACAAAGTGTTAATTCGGAGGCAGCATACCTTAGTACAAGCCCGAGGGGTGAATCTGCTTTCCTTCTGGACCACAGGTGGTTAAGGTAAGACTTCTGTTTGGGTCTGAGGTGGCAAGCTCTCCCAGGAGCTCTGCCACCCGCTTCCGACACTGCAGCTCAAAATCACAACTAAGAGCATCCAGAGTGGCCCCTGATCTGTGTTCCCACCCCTTCATCTGCAGGGTTTATAGTTTTTCCACAAGCATTGTGAGAGAATTATAAAATAGTCAGAGAAGAATACACGTGCTTTACTCAGAATTGCACCAGGTTTCTCTGAAATCGGGTTAGACCAACCCAGCTGCCACCACGAGACCACAGAACTTTAATGTCACCAAGAATGAGAGACTCTTAACATAGGAATGGTACTTGGGACAAATTCCAGTTTGATAATCTACCTTTTACGTACTGAAATTCTCAAAATGTTACTTCGATCAAATAGTAAGTTTCTATACCACAGCGGATACTAAGAATATGAGACTTCAGTAACTGTCTGCCAAGAACTTACAAAATTCAGCAGTCCTGATTACTACTGCAGTATAACAGAAGGCTACACCGGAAAGAGGGCTTAATGAACACAATGGGATCCTGTCCTCTACGCCACAGACATTAATATAGAACAGGGATCAAGATTGTTTTCTTAGTCATTGTTCTTTCAGTTACCACTGTAAGATAACTATGGCATCTGACATTCAATCTCCAAAATAAGTAGTCCCTGTATACATAACCAGCACAGAGATAATTTGATACAGAGAATAAAGTGCCATACGTTCAAATAACAATTTATAATTTTCATTGAGAGTATGGGAGTCTCTAGAATGTGCTACGGACGCCCTCTGCTGGTGGCCAATTGCAGCAGCTCCATGACACCAACAAACTGACAAAAGAGGAACAACAAAAGCCAAAGCAGCTTTGACTGTGTTTCATAGTGGATCTGACTAGGGATCAAAGGCAACACCAAAAATGACTGCATTTTATTGCCACTGCTAAAAAAGGAGTATCTAGCAAATGGTAAACTTCATTTGTGTTAGAATGAAGAGATCATTTAAAATTTTATTTTAATTTGGACTGCACTGTGATTTTTAGCCACGTATTTTTTTTCAAAATAGACTTCTCTTAGTTTTCCTTTCTGTTTAAATTATTTTTAATCTGAGTCCTTATAACTTGGGAAAAAAGAGGTCAAAGACCATAGGGGAATGTTGACCTGTGATTTGAGAGAACAGAACAGGCAGCCCAGCAATAAACAGCAGCTGGAAGCTGACAAGCAAGGGCTTGTCCATTCAGCTTCTGCCCAGCACGAGGGAGGCATGAGTCTGAGTTGAGTTGAGCCAAGCTGACTGCTAGAAGAGAAATCACATTTCAGGGGAAAACAACAACATCCAGAATCATTACCATGTATTAGAATATCCAGTATCCAATAATGATTCACTGAGTACAGTAAGAAAAAGGCAAAGGTGACCCATACTAAAAAAAAAAAAAAAGTGCAGTCAACAGAAACCAGCTCCAAGATGAACCAGATGATGCAATTAGCAGTGACAATGAACCTGTATCCAGACTCTAAAAAACCTTAAAAATAAACAGGCCAATTTTTAAAAAGCAAGCAAAAAAACATGAACAAACATTTCACAGCACAAGAAATGTCCAGTGGCCAATGAGTATGTTAAAAAGTTGCTCAACATCTGTCATCAGGGAAATGCAAGTTAATACTACAATGAGATGTCTCTTCACACCCCCGAAAACGGCTACAAAAAAAAGATAGCCAGTGCTGTGTGTGGAGCAGCCAGAATTCCCCCAGTTTGCTGGAGGGAATGGAAACAGTACAAGCACTCTGGGAAAAGGTTTGCCAGTTTTTCATAAGGTTTACTATACACTGAGCTGCTCCATCCCTAGAAACTTATCCAAATGGCTACAAAGGGGCTTACAGCAAACAATCTGAGCAGCTTTATTCACACTGGCCCAAACTGAGACAACCCCAAAGCCTCCCCACAGGAGAATGAACAACTGAACTGGGGTCAAGTCATAGAGCAGAACTCCCCACTAGAAAGAAAGGCACGACTGGTGCACGTGGCACCACGTGGGTCAATGTCCTGGACAGTAGAGTGCGAGAGGCTGGACACAAACGAGTCCAGTCGTGTATGGTTCCACGTGTATGGAGTTTAAGATAAGATGAAACTAAGATTTTTTTAAAAATCAGAAAAGATCAGAACAGAGATGAGTAATAAAAAAATATGGTGAGTTAAATAGGAGTTTCCTTCAAGTTTCTGGGTAGGAAACTACTTACAAAGTAGAACTTAATACTTTACAGAAATTAAATTTTACCTTTTAAAACTTACTTTTAAGTAGAAATGTCTTTAGGATGTGTCTAACTTGATTTGTTTTAGAGAGCTAGTGTAATGCTGGTGAAAAGTGTATGAAAGTGTTCAGAGCAAATGAAGATACAGGTATGGATACAGCTTAGTGACATTATAACTGCTTTAAAGGTGTTCTGATTTCAAGTAAAAGAGCAAGAGAAAACAGATTTTAGAGGAGGACCTAAGGTTTGTGATGTGAGTAATCTTAACATATTAGAATACGGGATTAATCGCTATTAAAGATGTTATATATCTGATACAATGTCAGACTTGCTTCAAATATGGGGTTTTACTTTGCTGTTTCCTTTTTCTTCTGGCTACAGTAACAGCCTAATGCCCAATTTTCTATTAAAATACATTTACTATATGAGGAAAAAGTTCCTACTAATACAATCAATTCCAGCATGCCATTACCTTGTCCTGAAGAGTTTGCTGCCATCTTCCTATTTGTGTTAACTGTTCAGTGGCAACTGCTCAGCACTTTACAATCACCTGTAAAAAAGTGTACATCTGTGAAAAAAATGCACCATACTTTAATAATAAATTAGAAGTTGTCAGCCTTCCTACTATGAGACATTTGCACTTTCTTCATCTCTTCAGAAACATAACTTCTGAAAAGAACACAGACAAATCACAAACAAACTCTGCAAGCTCCTCAAGTATTTAATTAGAGCATGAAGGGTAAATGTTTATTCTTGCAGATGTTGATGCAACATTTAGCATTACCGTCTTTAATATATCATTAGGCTGTTTACCAAATACCACCACATGTATCAGTCAATAACATCAATACGGACACAGTGTTAGGAAGAAAACTCATTCATCTATGGTGCCTTTTGATTCACTTAAAAAATATACCCAGTATATAAAGAACTCATCCGACTCAACACCAGGAAGACAAACAATCCAATTAAAAAATGGACCAAGGGTCTGAACAGACACTTCTCCAAGGAGGACATACAGAGGGCTCAGAGACATATGCTAGTGACAGCACCACTAGCCATCAGAGAGATACATATGAAAACCACAGTGAGATACCACTTCACACTGGTCAGAATGGCCATCATAAACAAAGCAACAAACAAGTGTTGGAGAGGTTGTGGAGAAAAGGGAACCCTAGTGCACTGTTCATGGGAATGCAGACTGGTGCAGCCACTGTGGAAAACAGTATGGAATTTCCTCAGAAAACTGAAAATGGAACTTCCTTTTGACCCAGCAATTCCACTGCTGGGATTATACCCTAAGAACCCTGAAACACCAATCCAAAAGAACCCATGCACCCCAGTGTTCATAGCAGCACAATTTACAATAGTCAAGTGCTGGAAACAGCCTAAGTCCCCATCATAAATGAGTAGATAAAAAAACTGCATTATGTTTACACAATAGAATACTATGCAGCAGAAACAAAGAAGGAATTCCTACCCTTCCTGACAGCATGGATGGATCTGGAGAGCATTATGCTAAGTGAAATGAGGCAGTTGTTGAAAGACAAAGACCATATGATCTCACCTATAGGAAGAATCTAATGAACAAAATAAACTAACATGCAAAATAGAACCACAGGCATGGAAACATGGAACACACTGACAGCGACCAGCGGGGCGGGGAGAAAATAGACAAAGAACACGTATGAATGACCCACAGGCATGGACAACGGTGTGGGGGTTGACTATGGGAGTGGGGGGGGTAAGATGGGCAGAGGAGGGCAAAGGTGGAAAAACTGGGACAACTGTAATAAAATAATAGTAAAAGGTTTTTTTTTTTAATGGAAAAAGAAACGTACCCAACAAAAAGTGTGCGCACTAAAAGCTAAAAAGGAAACGAAGGGAGATCCCACATAAGTAACACCCTAGTCCTGCCCTCTGGGAACATATAATAGGTGGGAAAACAGTCTCATTGAAGCAACCACACTAAAAAAGTTTAACAAACGCGCTCTTTAATAGGTGTAAACACAGCTCTGGAAGCAGAGAGGAGCAGGTTCTCCTGGCGTGATGAAAGAGGCCTTCAGGGGAGCTGGGGGAAGCACTGGGACTAGCAAACTGACATGGGTTTTGAACAAACTATGGTTAGACACCTCCTGCGGCTGAAGCACGGGGCTAGCGAAGCCGGATTATGAGGGCGCATCGGGTGAAGGTCAACGTCAGGGACGTGAAAGGACTGGACCTGCACCCTAGAAGGGTCCCCGCAGGCGGGCGTGGATGGCAGGCGGGGCTGGGGCCGCGGCCGAGAGGAGGGAGCAGTGAGAAACTTTGGGAAGCGAGGAAAGCGGAGAGGCCAATGCCCAGTGGCAGCAGAGACAACGACAGCAGGTCAGCACTGGAGCCACACACCTCCGTGCCCCGGCGCCGCCAAGCGGCCCTACTTACCGTGCGTACGCGTTCGCGCCCCGGAGTGCCTCACCGTCGGACCGCTCTCTCCGAGGGGGCGCGACCACTTCAAGACCGGCAAACCTCGCCCAACGTGCGGCTCTACAACCTTCCCGCCCCCGCGGCACTTCCGCCTTCTATGACGTAACCCGGAGACGCGGAAGTCCCGCCCCCCACCCGAATCAAACAGCCGCTGCCCAGGACGCTCGTATTTTACAGCAGCCTCAATGCAGGGGCCAGTTTCCTTCCGTAGAGTGACAGCCAAAGAGGCTCATGGGAGATGCAGGCTGCACTTTGAGGGCGGTGCTTGAGTGGGCGGGGCGCAATGACGTATCCTGCTAGCTCAGCAAGGTAGGGGCGTGGCGGAGACCGACTGGGTCCCTAGCACCTTCTAGTGGCCCATTCCTCGAGGTCACACTGGCTGGAGAGAAGCCACCACCGGGCTGATTGATCCAGCTACTGCGTGGGTTCTCAGACTGGGACTGAGTCGCAGCTGCTGCCTAAACTCGGAGGGCGCGTCTTCACAGGGTGCGCTCGCTTTCAAACTGTAACACTTCCCTCAGATTGCAGGTCCACACACACAAGTCCCAGGAATATTTTTCTTTTCTATAGTTTGCATAATTATACACATAAGAAAGGCGCTAAAAGGGAGACGTTTTTAGTACTGTTTAATAACCTGTACTTAAGAAATCGGTGCGCTACATCTGAGAACCCTAAATCACTCCTAGTGGTTTCTCTCCTGATACCTGATTCCAGCACACTAGATCTGTACATTTTCATTAAAAGCTAACCTTATGTTGATGTATGTCGCATGTTCTGTGGTCATTAATCTGTTACGCATCTTTTCTAGAATATGTCCATGATAATCGATATTTTCTCAACAGTAGATGTTTAGGATGTGCTATGTTGTGGCTCGCAGTTCCCTGACTAAAGCAATAACACTGCCAGCGTTTATTGAATGCTGTCTGCCTGCTAGGTGCTTCCTGTGTGTCACCTCCAGGCTTGTCGTCCCTGATTTGTATGAGGCTAAGAAACGTTGAGTTACTTACTACTCTGTCAAGTAGCTGGCAGAGTTTCAAAGGACTGAAGGTCTGCCATATACTAGGGCCCAGGTTCTAAAATATCACATGTCACCTCTGCTTAGAAGGAAGGAACTCCTCTGAGACCAGCTCTTGCTGACTAATCTAGATATAAAGTGTAACTCATGAGTGTTTTGTTAGTTATCCTGGATCCTTTTCAGTTGAAGGTGTTTTGATGACTGGAGTGACTAGAAAATGACCGATATGTATATAACTGATAGAACCTTGGAGAACATTAGGTTTTAAATTGCCCCACTAGACAATACAGAAACTGGGGCGTTGAGAAAGCTCCAAACTAAGTCCCTACTGGCCATTCTGAACAAAGTTTATGTAAGGAGAAAGGGGGGAAAAAAGAGTTCTACCCCCAGAACATTTGCCGTTTCCTGGCAAATTCATCTTCCCAGGGTTGGGAGAACATTATCAAAAGAAAGATAAATTGCTGCTAATCATTTTGCCCTTTACTTGGTAGGAGTTAGTCCTTGACCCCTCCATCTTCTTCTTGAAAGACTTTGGAACTTCTGCCTCACAAGAATTTTAACATATTGGTTAATAGTCAGTTTACTTGAGTTCAAATCTCAGCTCTGACATTTAATGATTGTGAGCCCTTGTTTAACTTTTTGGTTGTTCAGTTCTGTCATCTCTAAAAGGATAATAAAAATAAATGAGTTAACACCTTACACCTATTAAATGGCTACTATTTTTTTTAAATAAAATAAAATAAGTGTTGGTGAGGATGTGGAGAAAATGGAACTCTTGTGCACTCTTGGTAGGAATGTAAAATGGTATAGGTACTGTGGAAAACAGTGTGGTGGTTACTCCAAAAATTAAAAATAGAATTATCATATGATCCAGCAGTTCCACTTCTGGGTATATCTATAACAGTGGAATATTATAACAGGGGATTGCAACCAACCCCGCCATTCTGTTGACATTGCTGCTGTAAGTGCTGACTTTGACTTCTACATCTATAATATGTAACTTATAGATGAACAGCATGTTTGTATAAGAGTCCTAGGAACTAACTTCAGAAGATACAGACTGTGAACTTCAGGCATCTCAGCTCTGAGAGATTTGCTGACCTTCGGCCATGGAGCCAGGATGACATGGAGCCGGGATGGCTAAACTGGGGTGATGCACACCGGACCATCACTCGTCTCATCGGAATGGACTGTGCTCGTCTGCACGTAGAGCACTTTTCAACCCCCTCTTTTATCTCTTTGTCCTTCTGTTTCCTCTCTCTCCTTTTAAAAACCTCTGTCTCCACTGAGATGTGGAGATGGGCTTTGAGAAGTAAGTCCCCAGTCTCCCCAGGAGGTGGGCTTTGTGACATGAGTCCCCCATCTTCGAAGTGGCCGGCACCTGAAAATAAACATCAGCACCTGCCTCTCAAGTAGTGGCTTTCACAGCGGCAAGCAGCCAGACCTGCATTTGGTTACACATACTCAAAAGAACTGAAGTCAGGGCCTTGAAGAGATATGTATTCACACACCCGTGTTCATAGCAGCGCTATTCACAATACCCAGGAAGTGGAAGCAAACCGAGTGTTGGTTGACAGATGAATGGATAAACAAAATACAGCATTATATAAAATATATAATATATACATAATTAAATATTATTCAGCCTTAAAAAAGGACATTCTGATAGATACTACAGCATGCATGAAGCTTGAGAACATTATGCTAAGTGACATAAGCTAACCACAAAAAGACAAATACTGTGTGTGACACACAGTGACTTAAAAGAAACATGCATTTTTCATTTCTATTGGTCTTCACCACAATTCTTGGCTCACAACTCATGAAATCCTTGGGATTTCCCAAGGCTTGAGAGTAATAAAGGTGTCTTTTGTTTTGTGAATGAGGTGGCTTTTGAAAAGCACCACAGGATGAGGAGTGGTAGCCAGTGGAGCCAGCCCAGTGATTATAGGGTGGGAACATTCAGTACCCCCCACCCACCCTGGACCTCCTGGGATGGGCAGGGGCTGGAGATTGAATACAGTCACCAACAGCCAATGATTTAATCAGTTGTGCTCACACAGTGAAGCCTCCATAAAGACTCAAGTGGGTGTTGCGAGAGCTTCCAAGTTGGGGAGCCAGAAGGCTTCCCTGTGCTACGGTGACGGGCCCCATGCTCCATGAGGACAGAAGCTCTTTTGTTCGGGACCTCACCCTATGTGTCTCTCCATCTGGCTCCTTATTTGTCTCCTTTAATATTCTTTGTAGAAAACCAATAATCTAGTGAATAAACAGATTTCTCTTGAGTTCTGAGTCATTCTAGCAAATTAATCGAACCCAAGTAAGGGTCATTGGAGCCTCCAATCTGTAGTCACTTGGTCAGAAGCACCACTAACCTGGGCTGTGTCTCGCATCTGAAGTGTGTGTGTTGGGGGAAGTGTGTATGTTCCTTAACATGTGCAATCTGATACTGTCTCTGAGCAGATAGTGTCAGAATTGAGTTGATTTCTTTGTTCCCTGCTAGCGTCTGAGAATAGCTTGTTGGTGTGGGGTAACCGACCCCCACATTGGAATTGGGTCCAGGAACTCTAGTTACTGTGTGATTCCTTTCATACGAAGTACTTAGAGCAGTCAAAATAATAGAGACAGAAAGCAGATTGATAGTTGCCAGGGGCTCGGGACAGGGGAGAATGGAGAATTATTTAATGGGCATAGACTTTCAGTTTTACAAAATGAAGAGAGTTCTGGGGGATAGATGGTGGTGACGGCAGCAACTATGAAAGGTCTGTGTTGTACCGGATATCTTGGTACTTGGTCAATAGGTCATAGCTCCCACATATCTACTAGGGGGAAGTCCAGGGTAAAAGAAATGCATGTTATAGTCCTGTGACTCTATTAAATGATGAAGAAACTCAATGTAGCAGGGTGTGAATTACTTCACCCTGAAACTGTTATGATTATTATAGACCTTCAATATCAAAGTAGAGTTGAGAATAGTCCCTGTTTTCCAATGGAAGCCACCCTAATCCTCTTTTGCCATTCTGTGATAAAATTATTTATGGGAAATGCGTTAGGCTAGACAACCTTTAAAATCGAGGGTGTAGAACTTTGAGACAATTACTGTATCAGCTATCTATTGCTTGTAACAAATTACCCCAAAACTTGCTGGCTTAAAGTAACAGCTATGTATTCTCTTACAGTTTCTGAGGGGCCGCGATCTCGGCAGCGTAGCCGGCTCCGGATCTGTTGTGAGGTTGCAGTGGAGATGCCACCTGGGGCTATATGGTCACTGAAGCTCAACTAGGTGGAAGGATGTGCTTGCAAAACTCACTCAGGATGGCTAATGGCAGGAGGCTTCAGTTCCTCACCACACAGGCCTCTCCACAGGGTTGTTCATGACATGGCAACTCAATGCCAGAGCAAGTGACGCACGAATGAAAAAGAGGGGCCAAGCTAGAAGTCACAGTGCCCTTTATAACCTGAGTTTGGAAGGAACATACCCATTGCCTCTGCCACATACTGCTGATCATGCAGCCCAACCTTGACATAGTGTGGAAGGGGACTACTAAACAGAATACTGTAGACTGGGGGTCTTATATACAACAGAATTTTATTTCTTACAATTCCGGAGGCCAGGAAGTCCATAATCAAGGTGTCAGGGGTGATCGGACTCCAGTGGGCCTGAAAGTTGGGCAGGGTGGAGCCTCCAGGAATCTCAAGGGAGAGGCACACAGTGTGAGCCAGGCTGGTGGAGTCTCAGACAGGGCGCCTGCCTGCTGGCTCTGTGGGGAGTGGGCTACGAAAGAGAAAAATGGCCTCTGTCAGCACTTCTGTCTGGGAGAAAGCCGCCTCCCAGCTCTCACCCGGATGCCAGACACTTTAGTTTCTCCCTGTATGCCTCTGGTGCCTTTAGAGATAAAGCTCAATTTGTCTCTGAATATAAAGATCAAATTGGCTTTATTCAAGGATTCTTGGATCAGGTGGCATCCCATCCAGGGAACAGAAAGGAGCACCAAAGAGCTACACAAAAGGAAAGGTTTTTAAATGCAGAGAGAGGTGGGATACAGAAGTTCTGAAGAAAAAAATGGGTTATTTCTGGCAAGATCACCTCCCT